ATTTCATAATTGCATATCACTATTTATGATAATAAATTTGGTATAGCCATTAGCCATGATCTTATAATATAACAGTCGTACTTTTAGACATGATAAATTAAAATTATCATGCTTTTAGACTGTTTTTATCACGGTTTAAGATATAAACCGTGGTTTTTATTCATATATATTCTTTAACATYTATGTTTTTTATTAGCGGCATGAATTGATAAGAAAATATAAAAAAGTCAAAGAGAATTCTTAATATTATATTGACCGTGTTTGAGGTTTGAACATAGAGTATTACTCTATCGGTTTGAMCGATATTTTACTAGTGATAACATTCTGTAGATCTCCCTATCTCGGATAGATAACATGTATTTGATGTTTTAACTTTAACTATTTAGTATTTACAAATTATGATAATGAATTCACTTACATGATATATATTTATATTACATATAAATCAATAAATACTATTAAAATACTAGTTCCTAGTCTTTAGTAAATATGATTTGTAATTCATTTAAAGTTTGTATTGCTTTGCTATCTATCATATTGGTAAGTGTGCCAAATGCCAATGGACAATCAGAATCGAACCGAGAACTGTATGACATCGAAGGTACAGTTATGCTGCCTAACTTGACAACTTCCTGGTTGGCTGAAACTGTCATACAACTTAAAGGAGGAGAAGCAGTCGGATTTCTTAGGTATAAATATTTTRCACAATGACCAGTTTACTTTTAAAATAATGTAAGTTTAAAATATAATTATTGGTTTTGGATAATATATTTTTATCGTGTTTAAGATTATAATTTATTTTTTAACTATTTTTAAGTRTGCACCAAGTATATTACATTACTTTTATTCATATTTAAGCCAAGTATGTAAAACGTATTGTATTCCTTACTATTATAACAATATATTCATTTATAATCATGCATCATAAAATAYATCCATTTTGTATTATGTATATTATTCCCCTACTTGCCTAAATTAAATAAGATTTATAATATTTTGCAGGAAAAATGGTTCTTTTCTTATTTCTAAAGTACCATCAGGATCATATATCGTTGAAGTAGTCAATCCAAATTATGTCTATGAACCAATTAGAGTGGAAATTAATTCAAAGGGAAAATACCGGGCCCGCAAAGTAAATTATATTCAGTCATCTCATGTACATCAGATGCCCTATCCATTAGAGTTTGTCAACTACATGCCTGCCAAATATTTCTACACTAGAGAACAATGGAAGATTACTGATTTTCTTTCCAATTCAATGGTATACATTTGTGCTGCAATTTTAGGCTGATGTTAGCTTCTTATATAGAGTTAATTTAAATAAATAACAATTTTAAATTTAAGGTGTTAACAATGGTGTTGCCACTTCTTGCAATATTGGTTTTGCCAAAGTTAATGAATGATCCAGAAACAAAGAAGGTTTGATTTTTATTTAGTTTCATCAAATATTTAATAAATATAGTTATACATTTAAATATTTTATAGGAAATGGAACAATTGTCAAACTTAAAACATGATATGCCTGAAATGTCTGAAATGATAACTTCTTTTTTCACTGGAAATTCACCAGCTGCTGAGAAACAAAAAGAAAAAACCAAGGCTATAAAGAGTTCGAAAAAATCCAACAAGAATAATTAATGTAATAAGTGTAAATTTACCAAAATTATGTTAAGGCTAGGTATTTTGTACATATATATAAAATCATAATAAAATTTATAATAGTGAGTGTTTGAAAAAAATGTTATATAAATAGGTAGACATAATATGTATTATAAATAAATATACATACAATTTCTATAAACATAATTGGAAAAATACATTTTTTTTATTATAGAATTAAAAAGAATACATAATTTATTTAAATTTTATAGAATTCTGTATTTGTATATGGACATTACATTGTCGCTTATATTCCAATTTATTGCGAACGACAATATATATAAAAAAAACAGCAGAATAAATGGAGTCAATAATACTTCAGTTTTTTGTAGGATTGGTAAACCTGAAAATAAAAAATTGAAAAATATTTACATAAATTAAATATAATTGTCTATCTGCTTTAAGATCTATTTCTCTAAAATAATAGAAAATTCACTAATGGCATGGCATTTTATATTATTGCTTAACAATAAAAAAAAAAATTTAAAACATTAGAATCATTGATCATGCAACAACGTTTTTTGAAATATTGTTATATCTTATAACGAATATAGGACAATACGCCTATGGCAATTTACGATTTACTTCGATTTTTTGATGTAGACATTTTATCCTTACATATTAAAAAGATTATTTGTACTGAATGATTTTGTATTAGTGTATAGTAAAAATATTAATTATCTACATAAATTAAATAGATGAAGTCTAATATATTCTTATTATATTTGGCGAAAGAACTTACTTAAAAAATATCTACTCTATTTTATATAATACATTGTGTATTTGATAAGATAAACAAATTAAAAGTGAGATAAAGTTTTATATACATGTAGGTTTTAAAGCTTAAAATATTTAATAAAAATACAAAACAAAAAATATTTTATACTTACAGCTGTATCCTAAAAATGTAATATACAGGTAATAACCAATAGCTATAAGCCATAATGTGTTGCCAATAAATAACGGTAAGAACCAATCATGTTTGAGAAATACTAAAGAAAAACAAAAATTAATAATTTATATTTTATATTATATAAAATAGAACATGATTTATTTTGTTTATTATTTTAATTTTTAAACATGTTTTGCATTTTCCCCTTAACATTAAAAACTTTTAACACAAGTAACCTYTTAGTATTAATGACAGTTAATATCATTCTACCAATAGATACATACATTTCACTTGTTCAACCTTTATCGAACATAATTTACCATGATTTTTTTAAATGGTAAACTTATATACACTATGCATATAATTAAGGTGCCGTCAAACAGAGAGCAGGCTGCAGGCTACAAAGTATCTGACGGGTATGTAGATTGTGGTAGGCAGCAATCTGGTTATATTATTTTATAGAGACCGCAYGGGCGCCCCGCTTATGTTTGAATGTGCCTTAACWCTTATTAAAATGTCAATTAAATACAATTTTTTGGATCCAGGRTCACTCAACTATTTACCCTCATATCATAACTTCAATATTTATAAACAGTGACACTTAAAAGAAATTAATGGAAAAAAATCAGTCTGAATATCTAAATTATTATTGTATTTATATTTTATAAGTTTATTATAAAAATAAAAAATAAAAATTTAAATCTCCTTTTTTAAAAAACAAAATAAAAAATTAATAAATCTATTCCATTAAAAATAAGTAAAAAATGTTTAAAACAATTTTTTTAGCGGTACATCATTGTAATACACTAATACACACCTTACTGGTTGTGAATCAAGGGCTTTTTTAATATYTAAATTCATAAAGCTGATTATAATACATATGAAACAATAATACTATACATACTGTGATAGAAAAACAATTGAAAAATATGAGATATTACTAATGTTGGCACAAAAGCATTTAAATGTATATCAAACGCATAAGCCCATTCAACATCTTGTCCTTTGTAATTAGACTTGATTAAATATCTGTTGGCTACTAACCTGTAAATTATAGTAMAATATTAATATCAAAACAGGATGTTTATTATATTTATGAATGTTTATTCAGTACAATAAGAAGAGTAAATACATGGTTTTGTTCGATTACAGGTGAAAATTACTTGACTACAGGTTGTGTAATATACATGATAAATGTTCATCATTGAGGAGTGAATTTCAACAAATAAAATTTAATTTGGGATGCCATTAACATTATCCTTGGAATAAAGGTATGAAATAAAAATTTTTACAGTTTTTGATWACCAATACTCGATATATTWAATTTTTTATTTATTGTATCCTGTTCTTATTGAAATTTATTTTAATTATAATAACTATATGGCAATATATAATACAAATATTAATAATTAATGCATCGACTAGTATATTGAAATAACAGGAGACAATTTAGCTTACATTTGAGAAATTATGATATAAATCTAATTTAGCGCATACGCACATTTTTCAAAAATTTTTTCTCAGAAATCTAGGTACTACCAGTTAGGAATGAATGTACAAAAAAGATAAAAGGATCTAAAATAGACAATTTTTAAATAAGTGGTCAATTGATAAAGAATTTTCATTAAAGTACCTATTTATTCAATAATAGGTTTAGGTGATTAGTATAAACATAAACGTCAGTAAAAACTTTAATTTTGTTTTAGTAAGATTTTATTGATGGATAGCTCTTATTCTATGTTTTATAAAATAAATTAAAAATACATACCATAACACAGTACTTATTATGACGCCAGATAACAAACAGTCAACTGTTACAATATATAATAGAAATTTTAAAAATTCAAGGAAACCAAGTCTTAGAACGTAAGTAAACGCTATTGATGAAACTGAAATAAATTAAATTAAATTAAAAACTTAGTTAAAGAGGTTATTTTTACATATTTACCACATAGTAGTCCACTCAAAAGCACCAAAAATGCAGGGTCGTCACGAGCAAATTGTAGTTTGGTTTCTATGAGAAAAGTTTAAATTAAATGATACAACATAACATATTGAATAATAAACTTACCTTTTCTGTGTTGAAAGTTTCGATATACTTTCTGTGGATTRATGAACAAATATGTCATTTGCCAAAGTGCAAATTCAAAATCCATTTGTTTAAAGTTTGATAACTTTCGCAAGTAGCGATAGCGTTTCACTGCAGCAGTCATACATGTTCTGTAACATTTAAAATATAATTTATGCATCCTAGTTGAGCAAAATAATGGATAAATACATACCTCTGTGTTACTGGTGAAGGTAAATACGTCAAAGACGATGTCGATCGGAAAGAATTTACACTGCTTGGCATTTTATTATACRAAAAACATTCAAAAATAATAATAAAACTACTCAATATAAAGATTTGTTAGTAWTTTAAAATTGAAAAAATTAACCAAAATATTTTTTTTTTAAAGTAAATTACCGAAGTATTAATCTTAAATTTTTACTTAAATAGGTAAAAATGAATTAATCATTGAATATTTTTATTCAAAAGTATAAGACTAATACTACGTTTTTTTCATATTTTTCATTTAACTTATAGTTAACTAACTACCACTCATAAGTCATAGATAACTAGATAAGATATAAATCAGTGCTATTTACAAATTACAAATGATATGTTATCACTTGTTTAGTTTCAGGTGTCAGTTTAGTTCAATCCTTGTTTTTATTGATATTCCGTGTTTTCTTGTTAAAATAACGCAATTTCTATGCAACTGAATAGTTTGTTATGCATCTCMAAAAAAGATCGATTGGTAGTTCAAGGTCTCAAGCACGAAAGAAAATGACAATGGGAGTTTCAGAAACAATCGAGCAAAAAGATGCAAGATTGAGAACCGCCATAGAATGTCAAGCTTGATGCCATTCATCTAAAACAACTGAGCAACGAGATGGAAGATTGGAAACCGATATGAAATATATAAGTGTATATTATATACAAAATGATCYATCAGCCGTTGGTTTCGCAAAGTAATTGTTGGAAATGGGGAAGGGAAACTAGCCATCAATGAATCATCACAATGCATCACATTTCCAACTAATTTGTTCTGTAAAATAACAGCAACAATCAATGAGTTAATTGGCAAAGTTTCCCCAAATCAACCCCAAAGGCCAAAAATAACGGAAATCGTTAGTGGCTTATTGGTCGAAGCCATAGACGTGCACACAGGGGCAGCAAGGTGTGCTCTTGCTGCCCCTGGACGGTTTGAATATATTTTTATGGGCTGAACTATTACTATATAATAACATAACATAATAATACTTATATAACAGTGTTATAATAATAAAGAATAATGTGTTATTGATATTTGATGTATTTTTAATTTTGATATGGTATACCGGTGTTGAGCAAAAACAATCTATGATTAACCAATGATTATCGTTTAAAATATTTTTATTTAAAAATATT